AAAACCAATGCCTTTATGGACCCTCAGGGCCACCAGGCATGCATGTGGTGCAAATATATAAATGAAGGCAAAACACTATATATATGAAAAATAAAATAAATAACAATCACAGCAAGATTAATCTGGGCATGGTGGTGCATGCCTTTAATTACAGCATTTAGGAGGCAGTTTAATCTCTGTGAGTTTGAGACCAGCCTGGTCTGCATCGCAAGTTCCAGGCAAACCAGGGCTACACCGTGAAACCCTGTCTTAAAAAGAACAAAATAAATTGAGCTGAAAAATTGTAGAATAGAATTTTTTGTCTGAAGAATCAGCATATGTAATTACATATATATGAAGGAATGAAATGTACATATGTCAGTTTGGGCTGATTAGGGAGCCATGCACCGGCTATCATAGCTTCTCTACCATGATGGACTCCATCCCTGAGTCATGGGACAAAAGTCTTTTCCTCCTTTACATGGTTGTTGCTGTTTTCCCAGCAGGTAAAGGCATTTGGTATGTGGCCTGGTGACCTGGGTTGGATCCTAGAAACCCACATAAAGAAACAACTTCACAAAGTTATCTTCTGACCTCCACATGCATGCTGTGGCATGCACACACACACACACACACACACACACACACACACACACACACACACAGGAATAATATTAATGATAACATTATTAAAAAGATTTAAAAGATCAACATGGCTGGGCAGTAGTGGGTCTCACCTTTAATCCCAGCACTTGGAGGCAGAGGCAGCAGATCTCTGAGTTCGAGGCCAACCTGGTCTACAAAGTGAGTTCCAGGATAGCCAGGACTAAACAGAGAAACCCTGTCTTGAAAAACAAACAAAATCAACATGGAGCTTCAGGGACCAGGAGTGGAATGCTACACTTTAAAAGTGATGCATTTGTCCAGGCATGGTGGTGCATGCCTTTAATCCTAGCACTTAGGAGGCAGAGGCAGGAGATCTCTGTGAACTTGAGGTCAGTCTGGTCTACATTGTGAGTTCCACGGCATCCAGGGCTATGTAGTGTAGAGAGAACCAGTCAAAAAAAAAAAAAAAAAAAAAAAAGGGTTGAAAAGGGTGAACTTGTGGTGGTTAATCTTCAATCTTCATTGTCAACTTGAGTAGATTTAAACTCACCCAGGACATACCTGTGGTTGTATCTGTGAGAGGTTAGATTTTTGGAGGACAGACCCACTCTGAATGTAGATGGTATTGCCCTGTGGGCTGGGATTCTGGATTGAATTTTTCCTTTTTCTTTTCTTTTTTCTTTTTTTGTTTGTTTTTTGTTTTTTTGAGACAGAATTTCTCTGTGTAGCTTTGGTGCCTGTCCTGGATCTCACTCTGTAGACCAGGCTGGCATTGAACTCACAGAGATCCGCCTGGCTCTGCTGGGATTAAAGATGTGGGCCATCACCGCCCGGCTCCTGGATTGAATTTTTTAAATGAACAAAAGCCAGTTGAGCACTAACATTCTTGAGCCATGATCCTGAATGCACCTTTCCTCCCTTAACTCTTTGTTGTTGTTGTTGTTGTTGAAAAGTAACCAGCGCATGGTCCAAGGACTGAAGCCTGCATCTGACGACAGCCTTTAATTTTCCACGGTGCTGGTGGTGGAACCCAGTGCCTTGCACACTCCAGGCAGCTGTTCTCCCATGGAGCTGTACACCAGCTCTTCTTTTCCTAAGACAGAATCTCATTCTGTAGCTCTGGCTGTCCTTAAACTGCAGATTCTCCTGCCGCAGCTTCCTCAGTGTCAAGATTACAAGCATGCCAGCTAGCAGCTTTTTAGAAAGGTAAGCACAGTGTGACATGCCGGTCTACCTACCCCAGTGGTGGTAAGGCTGGCAGCTGCTCCCCCCCCCCCCTTCTGCTATTGGCTGGAAGGACTTTGTCATCCTGGAGCTTCTACAGTGGGACCATGCCTTCCACCGCCTGTGGTTCTCTACTTTATCTTCCAGGAAGAAGGACAAAGCAGGGATGTCCCTGCTGATCACAGAGTCCCTTTCCTAAGGGATTTGTAGTCTTTCTAAGGCTACAAGTTTAGGCCGCCGATCTGTGATGATTATGCTGCCTAAATAGAAATTCTAGAATTACAGGTTGAGAGTGTAGCTCAGTAGATTAGTTCTTAAAGCCCATCTCCAGCACTTAAACAAGACAAAAAGCACACACACACACACACACACACACACACACACACACACACACACACAACATGCTGGGTGTGTGGAGCATGCCTTTCAATGCAGCACTCAAGTGGATCTCTGTGAGTTTGAATCCAGCCTGGTCTACATGGTGAGTGCCAGACCAGCCAATTCTGGTTGAAAGTAATTGTCTAGGAGCTAGGGATGTACCTCGATGGTAGCATGTGTGAGACCCTAGGTTTCACTCCAGCACCAAAAACATACCAACCAAGATATCTTTCAACATATGAATAGATAATAAATTGTGAGGCCGAATGGTGGAGGCAGAGGCAAGGGGATCTCTGTTTTCAAGGCCAGCCTGGTCTAGAGAGTGAGTTCCAGGACAGCCAGAGCTATAGGGAGAGACTCTATCAATAATAACAATGATAATAACAATATTAATAATAAATGAAAATTAAGCACATATTTCTAAATCAAAGAATTAGCCTATGTTTGTAATCCCAGCAACCAGAGGGCAGAAGAATTTCAAGATCTAGATCAGCCTGGGCTACATGAGACCCTGTCTCAAAGCAATAAAAATAATAAATAATAAATGAGAGATTCACACACACTAGCTCCAAAAGACAAAGGTATAATAAATTGAGCAATAAAATAAACATGGACTTTGACTCAAAATATAAAACAAATATCCATGAGTCCATAGGGATATCAGTAATATAAATTAATGTGTAAATAAGTAAATAAATATATTAGTTGGATAAATATCCCATACAGAAGAATTCAATGTAGGTATTCTATTTTCATGGAGGGGAGAAATAACTCTCCCCATTTTTGTTTTATTTGTATTTTATTCTATTTATCTATTTTTTTTTTTTTAAGATTTACTAATTTATTTACTATGTATACAGTATTCTGCCTGCAGGCCAGAAGAGGGCACCAGATCTCATTACAGATGGTTGCTGGGAATTGAACTCAGGACCTCTGGAAGAGCAGTCAGTGCTCTTAGTCTCTGAGCCATCTCTCCAGCCCTATTTATCTATTTTTTAAAAACATTTATCTATTTTTTAAAAATATTTATTTCAGGCTGGAGAGGTGGCTCAGCATATGTGCAGATAGAACACTGTATATATAATAAATAAATCTTAAAAAAAAAAATATTTACTTCATTGCCGGGAAGTGGTGGCGCACGCCTTTAATCCGGGAGGCAGAGGCAGGTGGATCTCTGTGAGTCTGAGGCCAGCCTGGTCTACAGAATGAGTTCCAGGACAGCCAAGGCTACACAGAGAAACCCTGTCCTGAAAAAACAAAAACAACAACAAAAATATTTATTTTATTATTTATTAATGTCTGTGTATGTCCACATGCACATGCAGTACCAGCACCAGAAGGGAGCATCAAATGCCTTTAGAATTGATGTTATGGATGGCTTGTGAGCTGCCATGTGAGTGCTGGAAATTAAAACCGGATCCTCTGGAGGGAGCAGGGGCATTCAGGGAGCAGAGGCAGGCAGATCTCTGAGTTTGAGATCAGCCTGGTCTACAGTTCCAGAATAGCCAGGGCTACACAGAGAAACAGAAAAACAAAAACAACAAACAAAAACCCAAACCAAACCAAACTGGGTCCTCTGGAAGTTCAGTCTGTACCCAATCCCAGTACTCAGGAGGCAGAAACAACCAGAATTCTGTGAGTTTGAGGCCAGTGTCTGGTCTAGTTCCAGGCCAGCCAGGGCTACATAGTGAAACCTTATCTATTAATAAACAAGTCTTAAAGAAAAAAATATCTTGAAGAAAAGCAAGGGAGGTTTAAGAATCTGCCATAATTAAGGGATGACTATGACAATTAAATGTAATTTAGTAATTTGTATGTGATCCTGAACAGAAAAAAAGTCAAAGTAAAAACAAAAGAACCCTGACTAAGTTTTGGACTTCAGTCCAGAATAGTGTTTTGGTGTTGTTTCATTAATCATAGCAGTACATGAAATAGTGGAAGACAGTAGATTAGGGAAAACTGCATACAGAGTACAGGAGAAGACTCAATATCTTTACAATTTTTGTGCAGTGTTCAGAAAAATTAAAATGTCCAGAAAACTTCTAAAAGTTAAGATTACTCCTTTTTTTTGTTTTTGTTTTTGTTTTTTGTTTTTTTTTGAGACAGGGTTTCTCTGTGTAGCTTTGTGCCTTTTCCTGGAACTCACTTGGTAGCCCAAGCTGGCCTCGAACTCACAGAGATCCGCCTGCCTCTGCCTCCCTAGTGCTGGGATTAAAGTCTTGCACCACCACCGCCCGGCAAGATTGCTCTTAAAAAAAATAAAATAAAATAACACCTTGGGGGATTTAGTTCAGTGGCAGAGCACTTGCCTAGCAAGCACAAGGCCCTGGGTTCCGTCCTCAGCTCCAGGGGAAAACAAAAAGAAAATGAAAAGACAAAATAACAAAAATATAGCACCTTAAAATATGTCCCTCTCTAAGGCATCATCGGTCTTAAAGACAGAAAGAGCAAGCCAGTGATTCTGAATCTCTAGCATCCAGGGGCCTTGATGAAAGACAGTCAGCCGGGGTTCCCGCAGACCTTCTGGTTCAGAGGCTTTCCAGCGAGGCTACATGTATTTCTAAGTTCCCAGGTACTGCTGCTGCTGTAGGACCACCCTTTTGAGAACCACAGGCTTCAAACTCAGGATGTGAAACTAGGTGTGGCATCACCCTGTCACTCAGTATGGCAGCAGACTTGAAATCTCCAGCACTCCACAGGCTGAGGCAAGAGGATTGTGAGTTTGAGGCCCCTGTAGGCTACACCCCACAAGGTTGTCTCACAAACAACAAATTATGACTCAGATCTGGCCCCCCAGGGCTCCTAGGAACCCTTCCAGACTAGGGCAGTGGGGAAATTAACAACCGCTGAGAACAATGGGTGTATGTTTGAGGAACAAAGCAGGGTGAGGCTGAACGTGGACAATTTGGAAAAGCCATCAGAAGATGCTCCAGGGCATCCTGACTCGGACACCACGGAAGAGAGGGCAGGGACCTCCAGGAAGTGAGAAGAATTCTGTCAACTCCCGACTTTCCAGTAAATTTAACTGAACACAAGCCCAGCACTTCCTTTGGAGTGTGTCCCACAGATACCGCTCTCATTTTACAAGGCGTTTCTGAGAAGATAAGTAACTTGCCCACCGTCAATCAGATAGTAGGAAGGAAGACACAAATCGGAACTCAGCGGTCAGTGGGGGAGCTGAGTGTTACTCAGGTGAGCCCTCTGCTCCTTCCCGCCACCCAGATGGCCTCCCTAAGCCCCTGCCTTCTTTCTCCAAGCCGTCCTCTCTCCGCTCTTTTCCAGTTTCTTTCCCGCGGGTTCTTTCATGATTAACCACACGCATGAAGCAAGGACAAGAGACAAGTTTGCTCCCTGTAATCTAAGCCTCGCTGGAGAGGGGATGGAAATCCTTGTCTTGACCTGCCCGGCTTCCTCTAGGTCACCGTGAGGATCAAGAGCTTAAGAAGATCAAGCTTCGCTCCCTGGCCGGCCTTCAAGTCTCTCTCCGTCGGCCCCCGCAGCTAGCCACACCCTAGTTCTAGACACTACACACATTTTTATTCGGCCGTAGGGGATGGGTGCTGTCCAGCAGGTGTGCCCCGGCTCCCCGGAGGGCGGGACCGCTGTTTCCGGGCTGTCCTGGCATCCGAACCGCGCTGGGCGTGGCTGCGGTCAGGCAACCCCAAACCCAGATGACCTGGGCTAGAGGACGACCGCAGGGAGCGCGCCACCCGCAGGAGGAGCTGCCCAACCCTCTGCTCTCAGCCTCTGCATCTGCTCGGGAACCCACGGCCCACCCCCAACTCCCGGACAGCGAGAAAACCTCCGCGCCTCGGGCACCCGGCGGAGACCGAGCAGCAGGCCCGGGAGCCGGGGCGACGAGAGTTAACCCAACCTGCTCCCTCCGAGGCCGAGGGCCGGGCCGCTGCGAGCACCTCCCATTGGCCGCCGAGCCGGCTCGGCGCTCATTGGCGGAGGCGCCCGGCTGCGGCTCTTGGAGAGTCCCCATTGGCGCTGCGTTCCACGGACTGGAGCGAGGCGGCCCGGCCTCCGCAAGCTACCCCGGGTAAAAGGTGCTCCAGCTCCGTAGCTACCTTGCCACGCTCATGCTTAGCCAGAATCCGAACTTCCTAGGCGACCCTCCTCTTGCTTGTCGCCACGCCCCCTCCGGGTCTTCCCTCTGATCCTTTTCTTCTTGTTGCTTTTCTGTTTCCTGCTTCTCCAGCTACCATTTCCCAACTCCGCGTTTTCCTAAAATACTCCCAGGTCCCCCTAGCCTGTCATCCCTGGCATCTGCCACCTTCTAACTTCTGCTCCTCCTTGACCTCAGATCCCTTGGTCCACAGGGCCTTCTCATTGCCAAGCTCTGACCCCCAAATTCCCTCTAACCTTAATTTACTTCTTGACGTTTGACCCTGACACTTTGGCTCTCTAAATTTCTACCTGTTACAGCCTGGACTGCAAAGAGCCAGGTGTTGCCCTGACATCCACCCCTGCTTTCCAAGGCCATTTGCTACCCCTACCATGGACTTCTTGTTGAGTGGTCTGGCAGCCTGCGGGGCCTGTGTGTTCACCAATCCCCTGGAGGTTGTAAAGACCAGAATGCAATTACAAGGGGAACTGAAGGCCCCAGGAACCTACCAGCGCCACTACCGAAACGTCTTCCACGCCTTCTTCACCATTGGCAAGGTGGATGGCCTGGCTGCCTTGCAGAAGGGCCTGGCCCCTGCGCTCTTGTACCAGTTCCTGATGAATGGCATCCGACTGGGCACCTACGGGCTGGCGGAGGCTAGGGGATACCTGCACACTCATGAAGGTGTCCTCAGTCCTGTGCGCAGCGCTGCAGCTGGAGCCCTCGCTGGGGTCATGGGAGCCTATCTGGGAAGCCCAATCTACATGGTAAGAAGGGGGTCTTGTCTGGGGCCTTCAAGAAAGACCCTCGGTGTATAGGGTGGGAGCCTGCCCTTCATAAGGGCACTGGTGACCGGGTGCTGTCTCCCTGTAAGCAGGAAAAGCTACAGGAAAGTGGTGACAAGCTTCAAGGCCTTGGGTCTGCCTTGTACACACCCACCCAACTGACTGCAGTGTGCTCATGAAGATGACAGATTTTGCTCCTAGAGACTTCTTTGAGCGGGTTGGGGGAGTGAGGGGGTAGGGGGGTGTCGTTTGTTTGTTGAGGCAGGGTCTTCCTCTATAGTAGTGTCAGATTTCTTCTGTAGCACAGCCTGGCTTCCAAGCCAAGGTCCAACCTAGTTTTCAGTGCTTCAGTTAACAGGTGTGCATCCCTTCTGCCTACAGCTGAGCTTTGGAATCAGACTTTCTGGAACTCAGATCCTGGCTTTGAAAATTATTCATTGTTACCACATCTATAAAACAGGGATAATTATAGACTTTTGTGTGGTTGTCAGGAGGATTAAAGGAGACAAGTGAGATGGACATGTGAAGCATTTGACAATCTTTCTTTCTTCTTATTTATTTATTTATTTATTTATTTTGGACACAGGGTCTGGCTACATGGTCTAGGCTGGCCTGAAACTCACTATGAGCCCAAGCTGGCCTCTTGATCCTCCTTGCCTCTGCCACCGAAGTGCTTCGAATACAAACGTGCCACCATGACCAGTGATCCTGTAGGTTTTATTGTCTTACTATTGCCTTAACACTGAGGTTGACTTTGTGTAGGCAGGATGAGGAATCTGAGTGATATGGATTAATGAGTGTAGGATCGAGAGGATCCTGGGCATCACAGACTTGCAATCTCACAGTTTACTCCTTTGAGTTATCAAATATAGGTGAAGGGTTGGGAGCCTGAGACCCAGAGATGTCACACCGCTCAAGGTCTCACAGCTGTTTCTTGTTGGGGCTAGGCCAGGCTTAGTGCAGCTAAGAGAAGGAGATGATCTCTAGGAGAGCCAACTTGGTCTCACTCGTAATGGATGAGATTTGAAGACAAAGGCATCTTCAAAGTCAACTGAATTCACACCCCTTTGGGTCCTGGGGGCCAAAGAACACATTTTGGGTACTCAGACAAGGGAGGCTGGTAGAGCTGGCTGTTGGAGACCTGGTCTGGAATGGGAGCTGGCACAAGAGGCTAGACACCCAGATCTTGCCTAATATGAAATCTTAAGAAATATTGCCATTCTCCAGCCTCCACGCCCCACCCCCAGCCCCAAGGGAAGTAGGATGTGGAGGGGGCGGGGCATCTTGTAGTGCTAGGAGGTCTGTCCTCTGGGACCGCAGCCAAGGGACACAGACTCTCGTGACCAATTTGTTAAGTGGGAACAACAGTAATTATCAGATTAAAAAGAATAGATTCGTTGCTTAATACCCTAGAGGAGGTGTGAGGGGTCTGGGTGTTTTGCTCTCCGTGGGAAGATGACCACTGGGGCACAGGCTGTGATACTCACTCTCTTGTCCTCAGGTGAAGACACACCTCCAGGCACAGGCAGCCTCTGAAATCGCTGTAGGGCACCAGTATAAGCATGAGGTGAGGGTTCCCGGAGCCCCTGGAGTACCCAGCCCCTCTCCCCCATGGTCTCCCAGCTTTCTGCTCCACCTTTAGTCACTGCTCTGCCCAACCCCATCAGGTCCCACTCGTCGGCCCCTGGAGCCCATCCTGACCCTCGCCTACCCTCGTTCCTCAAGTCTCCCACACCTGTTTCCCCTGCCCCAGTCTCTCGACCCGCTAATGACCTCCCTTCCGTCCCTCCAGCCTCAACTCTTGAGTTGGCAAATGTCAGTAGACACCTGAGGGCCCCTGTTCTGGCTCTAAGCCTACCCTGAACTGGTTGTCTGGGCAATGGGTACATGATCCTTGGAAGTGTTATTAGGAGGCAGTCTCTGATGGTGGGGTGACTGAACCCCAACCCCATGGTCTTTCCTGCCCCCACCAGGGCATGTTTCATGCACTAACCAAGATTGGCCAGAAACATGGTCTGGTGGGGCTGTGGCGTGGGGCCGTGGGCGGCCTGCCCCGAGTTGTCATCGGCTCCTCTACCCAGCTGTGCACCTTCTCATCCACCAAGGACCTCTTGATTCAGTGGGAGGTACTGCCAGGGGAGGGGTGGGACCATCCCTGGACGGGGGAACAAGGGTGCAAGAAGGGAGGTGGGCCCTGGATGGGATGGGGCCAGGGTTCAAAAGGGAGGGAGCGGCAGGAGGGCTGGGGTCATCGGCTCCTACCAGAAGGGGTGCCTAATATTAAAGCCCTCTGGGCACTCCTCCTTCAGAGTTATCACACTGTGTCATCTCGGGTGGTATGGAAGCTCCTAGAAACTGTGTTTCCAGGGCAGGGCCTGTCCTACCCTAAGGCTGAATGACTGTGTGGTTGATAAAAATTCTTTCTCTTTCTTATAGATCTTTCCTCCCCAGAGCTGGAAGGTGGCTCTGGCGGCTGCCATGGTGAGTGGTGTCGCAGTAGTCACGGCCATGACACCCTTTGATGTGGCCAGCACAAGGCTCTATAACCAACCCACTGATACTCATGGCAAGGTAAGGGAGCACTGTAGGGTTCGGGCTGCCAAGGAAAACTGGGGGTGGAGAGGCAGAGCCTCGAACGCTGCCTGCAAAGGTGTCTGGTCCTGGTGGGCTCTGACGTGATCCTCCTGTGCTCTCCCTCCCTGACATGCTCCAGGGCCTCATGTACCGGGGGATCTTGGACGCTCTGCTGCAGACAGCTCGGAAAGAGGGCCTTTTTGGCATGTACAAGGGTATAGGTGCCTCCTATTTTCGCCTTGGCCCCCACACTATCCTCTCTCTCTTCTTCTGGGATCAGCTGCGCGTCTTCTACAACACATACGCTAAATGAGCCACTCTCCTGTACTCCAAATCAACACTCCACTACTTACTATCTCAGTGATGATTTCCTGACGCACTGACCCTCATCCACCTAAGGGGGCCAGCCATGACCACTCCTCTGCTCTCTTAGGGTTGAATCACTAATCTGATTCTGAACAGTAATTTATGTCCTTCCCTTGGATATTGCTTTAAATTTCCCAAGTTCCCCTGTATACTTCACACCCATCTCAGGGTTGAATCAGATACCCCAAAGTATATTTCTACTGCCATTCTTGGGTCCCTCCTGCTCCTGCGCACAGCTTTAAAGTCCCCCTTCCAAGACCAGGGGGGAGGCCCAGGTGTCCTCTTAAATTCAAAGCCACAGAAACTGTGTTGTTTATAAAGCAAGTTTATTTCTGCAGAGGAGGTGTCTCATGCTTGTGTCCAGGGAAGAAGTAGAAAGGGACTCTCCCTCTCAGAACCAGATCCCCGCGTCCTCAGCAGCAGTATGTTATGTTCCATCATCTTCACTGGGGACCAAAGATGTTGGGATCATGAAGAGTCAAACTAGTCACCAGTTGTTCAAAGTTACCCAGGCTCCAAGGTGGACATGACAGATTTTCAGGGCCAAGAGACCTGCTGTTAGAGCTTAGGGGGAGGCAACAGAGGGAGAAAGAAAAATGTGGTCCAGCTTGAGGTTTACAAGCTTACACTTCCTATTCCCCCAGAAGACCAGGAATCCCTGACCCTCCAGCCCATTTCTGCTTCCTTGAAGGAGTCTACCAGCCAATCTTCCTGTCTGACCCACCCAGCCTGATTGTCGTCGGGGGTGGGGGGGCGGTGAGGGGAGGTAAGGATCCAATTGCGAACTTCCCACTCTTTCCTTTGTCCTTACGGGGGCTGATTGAAGGTGAGCAACAGATCGGTCTGGTACTGGGGCAGCCGAAGCAAGGCCTGATAGAGTGTGACATCCTTTGCTACCTAAAGGGATCAGAATCAGGATGCTTACCGGGATGGTAACTGGAGCTACCCCTCCCCCTGCTCCAGGACATCCCATCCGCCGTGGCCCTCACCTGCTGGTTTTCTTTAGCTACCTGCTGCTTGCCAGAAAGGAACCAGGCATCTTGACAACAGCCCCTCAGGGATAGGTTGTCCAAACAGAGAGGCTTCACGGATAACACGTGCACAGCCCTGGCCCCCTGCACCCCGCCAACGTCCTCAAAATGGTACCTGGGGTGGGGGGGACAGGGGTAGGAAGGGGCATCTCTGAATGACCCATACCCACCCTCGAGCCTCACTCTCTTCTGGCCGGTCCGCGATCGCCCTTGGAGTTTTCGCCCTGAATAACCGTCCAGCCCCGGGCCCCGCCCACTTCCTCGGCTCCTGGCCTCCCATTGGCTAACTTTCTCACCGCGCAGCCGCTTCGCCCCGCACGTGGGCCTGCAGCTCCAGAAGTTCCACGATCAGACTCTGGTCGGTCACGGGATGGCAGAAAACTTCTTGGTTGTCCGGGACCGGTCGGAGGTCGCTGAAAGAGGGGCAGGGACACCCTCGATGTCTCTGGCTTCTTCCCGCAACCCACCCGACCGGCCTCCGGGACGCCTGGGCTTTCTCACCTCACATCAATGGCCCCAGGGGGGAGGATGGCGGAGAAGGCGCCTCCGAACAGTGGACAGTTCCTGGTGGGCTCCATAGATCTGGAACTTGAGTCTGGACATTAGCGAGGTTTTAAAGACACCTACATGGGCCTTTGAGGCATCACTTCCTCGGGGGTTCCCGGAGCAGCCACCGCCTCCTCCCGGCCTACTAAGCTCTTGGACCTTTAAGATCTGGCCACGCCCTGCGATCACGCTGACCAATCGGCGCTCGCGCTTCGGGGGCGGGGCGATTCTCGGGGCTGTTCTCTAAAGCTCCGCGCTTTGGAAGGAGCCAGAATGTGGGGGTCCGGTTTGCACTCTGGTTTGGGTTTAGGGTTTGTGACGCCCGCGCGTGTTTGCTCCTTCATTTTAAAGGAGTCGCACCTCCTAAGAAGGTCACTTGAGACCGTCCTTAAGAACGGTCACCGGGCAATGTTGGCGCACACCTTTAATCCCAGCACTAAGGAGGCAGAGGCAGGCGGATCTCTGTGCGTTTGAGTCCAGCCTGGTCTACAAAGAGAGTTCCAGGGATAGCCAGGGCTACACACAGAAACCCTGTCCAGAAAAAAGGAAAAAAAAAAAAAAGCTAAGAACAATTAAAGGGCCTATGTAGGTGGTGGTGGGAATGTCTTCTGAGTAAGGGGAGAATTGTTTGGGAGTGTTCTTGGGGTACTTGACCCCGAGTGGACTGACAACCAGACCCCTAGTTTCTGGATCTCATGCTGGGAATTAAGGGAAACAACAGGTCCAGGTGCGGGTCTGGGTTGGGATTCGGACCTCAAGCCTTGACACCTAACCTGAGGATTACCGTTCTAATCCCTTCAAATCATCCCCTTGGGAAGGTGAGGGGTAACTCTCCCCCAGTACACCTGGACCAAAGCACGGATTAAACTGTTGTATTTCCTTTACAGATTTTTAGAGTATTCTTTTAAGTATTTGTTCACCTTTATCCTTCAGTTAATTTCTCCATTCATCCTTGATCCCTAGCACCTGGCGTAATGTTTAGACCCTGATAGGCCTAGTGGTATAGTGTTGCACTACTGAATAAATCTACTGGTGCCAATGCCTGGGAGCCAGGAGGCCACCCATGTCCTCGTGCATTCTCCGTAGTATCTATTTCCCAGCTGAGAACTGGGCATTCTCATCCTGGCCACATGAACCTCATAATTTAGTGAAATGGAGCCGAGGGTTACATGTCTGTGGATGTCTTACATTGCAATCATTTCCTTGGTGGGCCTGGCAATATAAAGGTACACCTTACCAAGGTGTAAAAGTAACAGTGGAGTCTTAAAGTTTGAGTTACAGAGCTCCTGAGAGCATCCTTGAGGTATTCCAGCCAGGACCTAGGTGTAGAAGCTTGGAGGTGAGAGTGTGTACTCTAGGAAATGCAAATATACTGCGGGGTGCGGCAAGTAGATGGGGGTCCTCTACCATTAAATTTCCTCCCGGCGGTGGCGCACCCCTTTAATCCCAGCACTCGGGAGGCAGAGCCAGGTGGATCTTTGTGAGTTCGAGGCCAGCCTGGTCTACAGAGCAAAAGGCACAAAACTACATAGAGAAACCCTGTCGCGAAAAAACAAACAAATTCCTCTCTCGCCTTCTCTCCCTCCCTGTAACTGTGATCATCCCACCGTAACCTAAGTGCACTGAGGATGTGCTACCACAGGTATGTCCTATCACACCCAGTTTGGACTCTTTATTTCTTACTGTAGGCATCTGGCTTTTCTCCAAGCTTTTCCTCATCTCTAGAGCACTGTTAGTATTGAAATGTGTCCAGGTATTGTGGCACATGCCTTTAATCCCAGTGCTGGGGAGGCAAAAGCAATCAGATCTCTATAGTTCAAGACCAGCCTGTTCTACAAAGTGAGTTCCAGCCAGCCAGGGTTATGTAGGGAGACCCTTCCCAAATTAAATAAATAAATAAATAAACAAATAAATAAATAAAATTGAGATGTGGATGTAGTTGGTCAATCTGTTTCTGGGTGGATACTTCTCCATAAGAGAGGGGTTGCTGCAGGCCCCCATGGGATAGAAGGAACCTGGCTGTAGACCTTTCTGTTCATGCAGGAGCAATAACAGCTCTAATTGCTTTGTACACAGTCAAGCAGATCAAAAGTCCTTGGGTAGAGACCTGCACGGACATAGATGTTAACAACAAGATCATAGCGCTGTGTACCAGGAACGGAGACCTAGTCACAAACCAGAGGAAGGAGAAAGCGGCTTCAGCTTTCCCCAGTGGAGTTCCTGGCGCGCCTCATGTTCAGCTGCGGGCTACAGGTAGTTGGAGACCCCTGCCCTTCCCGGTCTCTGAGCTCAATGACAGGATGGCAGGGAGCAGAGATGTCCCAAGGCTCAGGGGCAGATCCCTGTGGTGGAAGGCCCCTTGTCTCGGCAGATCTCGAGATCTCCGCTATGGGCTTGCCATCTCTCTCTCAGTATCTGCCATCCTTTCTGGTCTCCTCAGTGCTGACACCTCGGCGTGTTCAAACTCCACCTGGGTCAGTTCGTTGCCATTCGGTCTGAGAAGTATCTGAGCCGGGTGGGACCCTTGGCCCAGCTGCAGCTGGGAGGAGGAGTGCCCTAGGACAAATCTGAGATGGCACACAGCTGCCCTTCTGAGTGTGAGCGCCCCCAGCCTGCGGTGGCAGCAAACCTACAAGTGGGTGGGGTGTCCTGTGCTCCGGAATGGTCCTTGTCCTTTGAAGGAACCAAAGGACAGACTTTGAGGGGGCTGGAGAGATGGCTCCGAAGTTAAGAGCACTTGTTGCCCTGGTAGAGGACCTGGGTTCAAGTCCCAGTGCCCAAACGGTGGCTCACAACCATCTGCAACTCCAGTTCCAGGGGAACCTGTGCCCTCTTCTGACCTCCACGGGCACTGGATACACATGTGGTGCCCATATGTGCAGGCTCATGAAATAAAGTAAAATAAATCTTAAAAAAAAAAAGACTTTGCCCCCCAGTGCCACAGCACCCCATGCCAAATATCCCTTTATGGAAGAGTTAAGGCAACATATTCTTTGTGTGCAGGAATTTTAAGCCTTCAGTCTTTGAAATTTTGGTGAGACTCATGAATACTCAGAAGAACGTGGGTAAATTGTAAAATATAATGTATAAGAATACAAGAGAAACCAATTTGCTTTGTTTTTCATTATGTAGTCTTGGCTGAATTGGAACTTGTTATGTAGACCAGGCTGGCTCTAAACAGAGATCTCTCTACCCTTGAATGTATATGCATTGTGTGTGTGTGTGTGTGTGTGTGTGTGTGTGTGTGTGTGTGTGTCTGCCAGGTATGTGAAGGTATCCTTAGAGGCTGGAAGGAGGTGTCAGATCCCCTGGGAGCTGGAGTTTTGTGAGCTACCTGAGATGAGTGCTAGGGTACATACTCAAAAGTCACCTCTCCTGCCCCTTAGTTTTGTTGGAGACAGGGTCTTACTATGTAGTTCAATCTGGCCTTGTATTTGAGGTAATCCTTCTGCCTCAGCCTCCGAAGTGCCAGAATGTCAGTCAGGTGTGCCATCATGCCTCACTAAAAACAAAAGTATATTACTATCTTTTTTTACTTATCTTGCCAGGCATAGTGGTGCATACTTTTAATCCCAGCACTCAGGAGGCAGAGACAGGCAGATCTCTGAGTTTGAGGCCAGCCTGGTCTACAGAGTGAGTTTTAGGACAACCCTGTCTCAGAAAAAAACAAAAGGAAAAAATTTTTTATTTCATTTTATGTGTATGAGTATTTTGCCTCTGTGTGTGTGTGTGTGTGTGTGTGTGTGTGTGTGTGTGTGTA